GTGTGTTGCCTCGAACCCTTCGGCCAGGTTCTTATAGGGCCTATAAGGACCCATTGCATCACTCAGTCCTGCTTCGAAAAGTGATAATCTTGATGGTCCCTCGATGCAGGGTGACGCCATCCAAATAAAGACTCCTCTCACGAAATGGAAGATGTACCTATCTCGAGCCTACATAAAGCAGTACCTGATGTATGTACATCTCTGTCCCACATCTCTATCGCCCCTCTCTGTATCACTTTTTGACAACTATAAATGAGTGACGGCTATTTATTTATTTTTTTATCAAAATATATTTTATACATATATATTAGGTATCATTGTAATCTTTAAAACTATTGACGATAGCAATAAATTATTAATTGGAATTTGATTGGAATTAGGCTCCAAGAATTTAATATTTATAAAAGAGGAAGCAACCAAAACCGAATTTCAAATTAATTTTTCTCGTATATGTTTTTTAATATTATCGTTAAAATTTGTTTTTTAATTGCAAAGGATTCTTTGATATATTAATTTCTTAAATTCCTTAACAGAATTTCGGAAAAATATTTCACTATAAAATATTTGCATATTTATGAAAGGGTGGGAAATATTTGAATTTTTCAGGAAATTTGAAATCTTTTTATTTTATAGGAAAAAAGAATGTCCTGTTATTTATTGGTGTTTGAAAATTGCTGGAAAAAATAGTAAATAGGTTAATAAATTTTTCTCCTTTCATCGTCTCGGTCGGGTTCGTAAAACACGCGACTCGATCTGCACGGATACGTGGATTAAGCCCTCGATTGGTCATGCCATGGCCTGGCTAGCGAGAAGAATGCACGATTACGCCGTGACAATTGATCAAAGCACTTTCGAAACTTATTTTCCTAACATTTAGAAAATGGTACGAGGAAAATGTTTCGGACTGTGATTTATCCGAGTAAGTTTGTCATCGATGAAGTACGAAAGATAATTAAATCTAAGTACAGCTAGATCTACAACACGGCATCCTATAACACGGTTTCACTATAACACGATTCATAAATTGCGGGAACCCTCCTACAACACGGCATCCTATAACACGGTTTCACTATAACACGATTCATAAATTGCGGGAACCCTCCTACAACACGGCATCCTATAACACGGTTTCACTATAACACGATTCATAAATTGCGGGAACCCTCCTACAACACGGCATCCTATAACACGGTTTCACTATAACAGGATTCATAAATTGCAAAAACCTTTGGACAACACTGTACTTCTACATGAGCAGTGACGACGAAGAAATTAATTAAATTAAAGTTACATTAAATTAAAATAATATTTTTGTTTCTTTTTGTGTTGTACATACATTTATATTATTAATAAAAATTAAGTTGTTTATGTCAGAATTAAAAAAGAAATCTGTTTTTAGTAAGATTTTGAAATGTAACTTCCCTTTTGTCTCATACAACACGGTTTCACGGTATCTACCGTGTTATAGGAGGGTTACCTGTACTGTAATTATCTTTAAATAACGACGTGTTCGATTATCTAAAGGGTACGATAGTGGTTGATTTCTGAATAAATAATAAACATAATCGAACAGAAGAGCTTTATCATTCACTGTCCATTACTACCATATATTTTTGCAAACGATACTAAGTGGCTCGTTTCATTGTTTATCGATACACATATTTTTCAGCTCGAAAGTGTGTGGTAAATAATCATAGTTTATCGAATCAAGAGTACGAGAAAGAAATTAATCGTGATATTGTTGATAGTGCTGCTTTTTGTAACACACGTGCCCAGTTATGGCGCAGAAATTTTGTATATGACTTCATGCGGTATCTCAGAAAGTTATTTATAATAGTTATCGCGACGATAATACTGATACAAGTGCCAACAACATTTCGCATTCTACCAAATTAAGCTGTGTTTGTGTACACGTTACTCCAAGCACGTGCAATTTGTTATCGCTTTATCTGCTTCTTTCTGACTTCGTCACGGAATATATCATAACGATTAATCCTGTTTAACATGCCAATTTCCGCGCAAACAGTTTTACTACGCAATTGATAATTCGCAAAAGAAAATGTTCATTTCTTCTCGAGCAGTGGATTATTTCACAAAAATCGGTCAAAAATTTCGAAATTTCTTCAGTTATCGATTTAACAAACGATAACGAATCAATTATCAAAATTACAAATCTTTTACAGCTTTAGAAACCTTTGTTCCATGGGATTTGTCAAATTTGAAAATCGAATTCGCGAGATGTGACGTTTATATTCTGTTATTTGTAGTAAAAATTCGCGATCCTTCTTTGCAAGGTGGATGCAAAGTGTGGAACCAAGGTCGAGCAAGTTGTTAATTTTGCGAATGAGTAATATAATCAATGACAGGTTGCAACGTACTCACGTGTGACAATAATCGCGTTGACGCTTAAATTTTTAACGAAGATTTAATTATTCATAACACCACGCATCGCGTGAATGCTAGCTTGGGTTATCATTAATTCGCGAATTTTGCAAAATTGGTGAGAACTGTGTCAACGACCGCACATACCTGTGTGACACTTAACACGTTAAGTACTACGTCGGTCCCTAGGGATTTTTCGTTTGAGCCGAGACTAGGACCAAAGGGTGGTAACTTCTGGTGTTAAATTCTTTGTCATCTTTGAACCTAACGTTTGGGAATTTCTGTTATAGCAATTGGTCCAGTATTTCCGAGTTTTATGAACACTTTGCCCGGCACTGGTGGCTCACTTGAGAGCCAAGTCTGGGCCTGAACGGAACGGCAAACAAAATGGGCTGGGCACTTAACGCGTTAAAGTTTCAATTAAAATCTGACACAGTGTGAACGCTGCTTTCGATTATAGTTAATTCGCTGATTTTGGAAAATTGGTCATAATGAAATGCAGCGTTTACACGATATATCTGAATTAAAAATTCGACTATTGATCAGGCAATTGGATCATGAATTATAGGATCATTGCTTTCAGTTTTGTGATCATACATTTCCCAAATGACTGAAATAGACTTCCCGTAACATTTCCATGAAATCTTCGATAATTTTTGAATATTATTTTGTAGGATACCAAAAGAAATCGCGAATCGGCTATTGCCAACAAAAACAAATTGTAAACCGATCGATATCTTCTAGAAGCAAATGGAAAAGTTATTCTATATAACAAAATTAAGTTTCGTGACTCCTCGTGATATCTTCTAGAAGCAAATGGAAAAGTTATTCTATATAACAAAATTAAGTTGCGTGACTCCTCGACGGGGAGGTGAAGCGTAGGTTAAGGAAAGCATGAAAAGCGTGGTCCTTGACAAGCAAAACAGAGTCCTTAGAAATCGGTTGTGACCAGCACAAGCGTGAGTCGCTTGGTGTTGGAAAGAGAGTTTTAAAAGAGTGCGTCTTTGTGTGTTTTCGTTATCTTGGTGTTCTTTCCCTGAGTTAAATCAGTTTACGAGTTTTGAGTTTGTGTTCTCGTGTTCTTGTTCTTTCGTGAATTTTCGGTGTCTCGAGATCAGTTTCGCCATTCTACAATATGTTAATTTTATTTTACTGTAATTACTATAATATCATGCAACGGTTAATAGCAGTGCAACAGGAAAGGAGGTTGCAAATCGCGATACCACTTACCACGATTGTGGATAGTAGCGGATCTAATAATATTTGGCGGTATCCTAATTAGAAAATGGGAGGGAAAGAAACGGAAATCAGAACGAGGGAGAAGAGGAAGAAGAAAAGCAGTAAAATTGAATTTCTCCTTTTAGCCGTCGGCTGGTGCCTTTTCCCACTTAACAAGGCAAGACAATGCATGGGATCCACCCTTACTATCTTCAGTTCATTAATTCTGACCAAAAGCCGGTCTTGATGGTGTTAGTTCGATCGCTAACCTCCGGTCTTCCTGCATCCCTCTTCTTCCATCTCTCACGCCGCGGCTGCAAAGTGAATTACATCAGAAAGGAGAGGGTAGTTTTATCGAGTCAACCTGCCAGATATTTCCTAAGGAAACTGAGGGGTCGTTGAATCGGAAAGGGGACTTTTAACAGGGCCGTAAGAG